ATAGCCCAAATTCAAATTGTTATCTGGGCTAGCCCAATTGACAACTGGGCCGATTTTCATTTGGGGCACAACATATATATATACTGTAATTTTAATCTAAATTAATACAAATACAATCTAATCTCGTTATAGTCACTTTAATATAGTTACAACCTAACCCTATTTTTTAACTCAAGCTAATATAAATTTGATCTTTATACTATATAGTCAACTTTTATAATCACCAGATTTTTGTTTTTCAAGCTAGTAATTACTGTATATTAAGATTAGACTGTATTAACTCTAGCTTTAAAAAATTTTTTGTTATTATATAAACATAAAAAAAATTAGTTTTTTTTTCAAAAAATCCGAAAGCTTGTAAAAAATAAAATCGAAGCTTGCTAGCTTGCTATACAGTTTATTAAATCCTTTTATAATTATTAAACTAGTGTGTTATTAGAAAATAATATATTATATCTAAAAATATATATTACTTGCTTAAATATTATCTCCAGTAAAAAAAGTAAAGAACCAATATAAGAATAAAATTATTTGTTGTAGTATAAAACAATAAAGAAATCATAAGCAAAGATTCTAATACTATTCTAATCAATAACTCTGAATATATAAAGGTTTTGGTAAAATTGTATACATCAACCTATCATTATAATTAAATAAATACATGTATGTTATTTTAAAAAATCAATTTTATTAATCTAAATCTACCTAAAAATTCGCCATAAGAAATTTATAATAAAAACGTTTCTTATGCGAATCTTTTAGCATTTTTCTCTGTTATACGATTACGTACGTACGTCGTAACTAAAATCAGCTGTTAAGCGCACATCGTGTTATATAGTTAGCACAGCGACAGATTCAGGATTACTTTAGCAGACCATAACTATGATAACGACAATAATGTTATCATTATATTTGTTGGGACACATAAATAATATTGATTGGAGATTAAATGATATGTGAATTTGGAAGCTAATTAGTATAAAAATTCCAGTATATTCGAACAATGACGACGATCCCTAATTGCGTGTTAAATGTCAAACATGTGTTTAAGAAATATCTTTCCATTTTGAGATATAGGTAAATCTCCTTTCTTAAACATCAAAACGCAAAACAAAATGCGAATTTCCGAGAACTCTACCTGTTTTAAAGATGATGGTACCGCAACTTCGTATGACCTGTCTGCTTGAAATTAATTATATACGGTTTACACGTGTTTGTTTGAATAAAGGGTCATACAATTAGTTGCAAATATAAAAAATTCTAGCATTTCTTAAAAATATGACCATGATTTTTTCTGATTTAATGTATAAATCAACTCAAAAGTTCAAGTTTCATTGAAATAAATCGATGAATCTTTCTTTGGCGACTCTAAAATGTAAATAAATTTAAGTTTGAGAATTATTAACGAAATAATAATAATAACAATAATAACGTACCGCCGAGTTGCTTCCTGAAGAGTTTCGGATGGATTTTTTACAGTACTAGCACTAGCGCCAAGTCCTTTAGTTCCTTCATTAGTCACAAGCTGTACAGGATCCAAAATTCCTGTACCATTACACCCTAAGCCTTGTCCTTCCTTCCAACCCATTTTTTGTAAAAGTTTATTTCCTCTATTTTCAGACCCAATCTTGGTCTGCACATTTACCTCTATTTCAGAATTTATACGAGAGACATCTTCCCAATCTTTTCTTATCGGACTATTATCAGGATGAATCTCCCTTCTTATTGCTGCCCGATCGACGTATTTCGTATATTTAGGCTTAATACTCGGTTGACCCATATATTTTCGTTTCAACCGATTTAATTCTTCACGACGTTGAAATTCCAAAAGTTCTTTTTGTGTTGCATTAATATTATTACTAGTGCCATCGAACCCTATATCCCCTTCCGAACCTTTTTGTTTAATTTTATTATGATTAGCATTCCCATCGAGCTTTTGTGATATGTCAATCATCTTTCCTTCAGTTACAGTGCAAACATCACAGGTCCATTGTTTATGCAAGTGTACTTGAAACTTGGTGCTCCCAACTACCAACTCATCCAAATGACATAATTGATGAGGCTTTGAGCTCATCTTACTTTCTGATAATCGTTTTGAATTAACAAATGTACCATTCTGTGACCCAATATCAACAATAAAAAATGTATCTAAGGTTGTAACAGATGATGGATCATCATCATCAGATTTAGCATCAGCAGTGGATGAAGAACAATATATTTGACAATGATGCTTTGAAGTGGGCATTTCAGCCAAACGAAGTCGTCGATCATCCCACCTATCTCTTCCCATCGAAATTCCGTTCGCATCAACTAGCACTAAATGACCAGATTTAAGAATCCCAGATTCCATAACCACTAATCTGAGAGTCGCATCGCTACCAGGTTCACCTTGATCTATTGCAGAATCTTCATTACTAACGGGAGATGTGTAAACGATAGATGATAGATCGACAGGAGTGTAAGTCTGAGTAGATTCGTCATATGCTGAATAGACACCAGAATACACATCGAACCATATATTGCTTTCTGGATGAAAAAAATATTGTGCTTCAGAAGTTTTGACATAACCTTGTGGAGGTGAAAAAATACGCGTATTTTGTTTTTCGGATTTGCCAACGTGGTGTGAAACCGAATCAACATCAGATATATTTTTGTATTTTTGATCAGGTTCATTAATTATGTTATCAATTGCCGGTAAAGAAGTTACCCCGCATGTTTCCGAATCAGATAACTGTCCTTCCTCGCGTGCACCATCTGTGGCATCTTCAGAACCATACTCTTTATTTGAAATAGATGTTGATTCATTAGTTCTGCTTTGCTCCGGATCACATGCAGAATTGCTGTCAAAGTACATCCATTCTTGATTATGGCTGTCCCACAGTGCATATGTTTGTGCAGATCTGCTGTAATAGTATCCACTATTTTCATCGAAAACCCAATCTTCCGAAGTTTCCTCGCGAATCTTTAAGTTTTCATAAGCCTGGAGTTCAGCTTCGAAAGTCTTGTTAATTCCTAATAGTTTCGTTTCCTGTCCAGCAGAATGGGTACTTATCGAATTTGCTTGCGTTTCGCGAGGTCTGGTTAAAATTTTATAGTCATACGGAGCATCCTCCATATTTACCGAAGGGTTGCGAGCCCGATCGTGATCAGTTTCCAATTATTTCGGATTTAGTGGTGGTGACAGTGGTGAAGTTTGTTAGTAAATAAGTAATTTAACAAAAAAAATAAACCTAATTTGATCAAGTGATTTATTGATCTGTAACTGATTATCCAGATATGGTAAAATATAAGACTGTATAGTTCAATCGTTCACTCCATTAATTTTAACTTTAAATTCCGCGCTTAATCAAAACATTTCTTCCCAATGGATGATCCTGAACTTGAAGCTATTCGTCAGGCTAGGATACGCGAGTTGCAAGCTACTGCTGCTGCTGTAAGAACTTAATAATCAAGACAACTTATGCGATCCAAAAAAAAAACGCAAAGTTCTAACTCTATTCATTCATACATAACAGGGGGGTGGATCAAAGTCTTCAGAAGATGATGGCGAAAAGAAACGGTAACAATTACCCGTATTGAGCTGATCGTTGTAATGTATATATATACGTAAAAATTCCAAATCTTTAAAAAATGCTAAGATTTTTTAGTTGGCAAATTTTTCAGACAACAGGAAGAGACGAGGCAAACATTGGTATGACATTGTTATAGACATGTTGACATATCTTTTTTAATAACAATATTTATATAATCGGTGTGTACCTTATTCCAACAGTTGACACAAATTCTTGACAATGAGGCTCGAGAGAGACGTAAGTTGTTGAATTTTTAGCGTAGGAACATAATTTTCAAATATAAAATTTTACTTCGAGTTAAGATATATCCTTTACATTTAGTCGCAAGAATTTCTATTGTAAAAGCTGAAAAAGCTCGAGCCGTTGAAGATCTTCTAATTCGAATGGCACAATCTGGACAATTACGTGGAAAAGTAAGCGAATCACAGTTGATCGATCTTTTGCAACAAATCAACCAACAGCAAAAGCCAGAGAAAAAGATTGTGGTATTTTCTCATTTTATATTAAATTATTCCAAAATAATAAAAAAACCATTATTAATTTTGCTTTACAAAAATTTGTTTCCGAAGTATAATCGAAATCGAAGAAAATTTGGAGAAGACTCTGATTAATGCTTGGATTCGGATATCTAATCAGATTTCCGGATAGGCATCCTACTTTGTATTTTTTTTTTTAATTCGGACTTATGATCCTAATACGGTTATCTTATACAATTTTTTAGCGAAATTTGGCTTAATAAAAAGAATATACGTGATTGAACATTATAAAACTGATCTGATTATTTTTTCGAGGTTTAAATTATAATTTATTGGATGCATTCCCTAAAAAGTCAACAGTAAGAATAACTTGAAATCTCGATGACAGGTTTTCCTTGGCGGCACCCAAATCTTTGATTTTTCTTTCTCATGTTGCGAAGCAACAGATAAAATTTGGACAATATAGTGCCAGAGTGGTCCTATTAAATGTGAGATATGGTCTCTTTGAATAAATATAGATATATTACTTATTTGCCATACATAGCTTAAGCCCAGTGTTGTTAATTTGTTTCCAGTGGTTTTTAAGCCTTCTAGTAAATCTTTTTAATATCATAGTAAAAGTTTCAGTGATATTAATAACACTAGCCAATCTGATAATACGGATTAAATCAAGGTGGATCCATTGGAGAAAAAGTATAATATATATATATACGAATTAGGTTTGGGTTGAACTTAAAAGTAAATTTGCATAAGGAATAGTTTTTGTTATGGCAATAGTATTTTCGTAATCGAATAATTCCCACGTGATAAAGTATCATTTATTAACCACTTTATCACTTTGTTAATTTGTCTACATTCCTATCATCATGGTTAAAAATTTTCGTAGGGTTGTTGATGGAGTGGGTTGGGTTAAAATTAGAAGGTACTCCGGGTTACATTTAAATTAACACTCCGGGCTGTGCTCCAGGTTAATGCTCCGGGCCAGTGTATAAAATTGAACGTGCGCTTAAGATATTTGCGCACATAAAATTTTCTTTCCGCACACAAAATTTAAAGATTTATATATATAACGCACATGGAAATTTGTTCAATCTTCATTTTTATTTAGCGCACATAAATCAATGCTTGAATTTTATACACTGCTCCGGGCTACGCATTAATTTTGCTCCAGATCACTCCATATGGAGCAATCCAGGTTTTGCTCCAGTTCACTCCATGTGAGTGCCGCCAAGGGAAAACTTGTATCAGGCAGGGAATATGTCCCGTACAAAATATAATTGAAAGCACGATGACGGGTTTCCCTTGGCGGCACTCATATTGAGCAACCTGGGTTTTGCTCCAGGTTACTCAATATGGAGCAACCCGGGTTTTGCTCCAGGCCACTCCATACGGAGCAACCCAGGTTTTGCTCCAGGTCACTCCATATGGAGCAACCCGGGTTATAGGAAATAATTATATTTCATAAGTTAGATAATCAATGAACGTAAAAGACAAGCAAGGTCAGAAAAATTTTGGGGAGCAAAAAATCCGAAATCTCTCGAGAAGCGAAAAATAAGTCGATAATCAATAATAAGATAAAGTTATATTTTAAAAAGGATCAATGATAGTTAATATTGTGATCTGATATTTGAGATACAGAGAGACCTCTCTAAATGCACCCTCTATAAATGCACCCTTTATGTAAAATCTCTATATTAGCACTATATATTTTCCTCTCTATAAATGCACGCCCTCTCTAAGTGAAATTTTTTACTATGGTCCCGAGGGGGGGGGGTGCATTTAAGGAGGTCTCTCTGTATAAGTAATGCATATCAACATAAATTGCTAACAAAAAAAAAATTTATTAAGCTGCTCAAATATAACAAATATATTATTCGGGTCCTAACGAAATATGTTGTAAGATAACTAATATCCTAAAATTGCTAGTGAAAGACTCACCCCTAATGGGACTGTAAGGTTATCTGTTCCCCATGGACTCAAAGATTCTAAAGCAGTACCAACAGATGCAGAAATAAGTGCTCCTGTAAAATACTCAGTAGTAGTTAATTCCGGTGGAGACATTAACCACCAAAAGAATGGAACCATTACTAAAGTCACAATAAAAAATGCCAGTGATCCTTCATAAGTACGCCGACTTCCTTCAGCTCCAATTAATTGATAACCATTTCTTCCATACGTCTTTCCAATAACACTGGCCATCGCGTCACCATATGTCATCGCAACCATTCCAGCTTAAATTTTTTTCACATTTTGATTCAGAATGGCAGAATATTTATGATAAAGAAATCAGTATCGTTAAATACTTACCAACCGCAATATATTCGCGACCCCTAGGAAATCCTTTTTTCCAACCTTCATGAAACCACCATAATAAGAAAGTAACAGAAAAAGCAAAGTATACAGTCCCTAGTGTCGCACCTTCTTGTGGATCTATTAATAAATCATTAATATTCGTACCTGTAAAATCCTCTACAACAACAAAAATTAATATCAAATTCTTACCCATTGATTTAAATAATTTAAGTCGTATAAAAATGAAGTTCAATAGCACAAAAGAGCCTGTCAAAAGTATTACATATTCCCATTGTTCAAATATATATAATAAACCGAACATATAAGTTCCTGCAAACACATGGATTATTTTACGGGAAATGAAAAGAGGAATATTAAAACTTCTCGAAAAAATTTCCACAATAAGAACAACGCATAAAGTAAGTATATAAGATAGTGCGAGGCTCGTCAGCGTGCCCCAAGTTGGAGAAGGTAAAAAACTCATCTTTTCCGGTTTTGGTTCCTTAATTTGATATATTTAACGATCTATATATAGTGTTATTTATATTACAAACTTGATTCATGCGGTAAATATTTGGCGTAGCGAAACGATGGGAATCCTTTTTAGGCACAGTATTCTTTTAGAAAAGTTACACACGTATCACCATGCAGCTGATCCTGACAAATTAATGATAATCATTCAGTGCTACTGGGGTAGTCCATTCAGTGTTAACCGGTCCTGAGATGATTTAACAAATTACTAGTAATCGCTTACTTCTAAGTAACCTACATTGAAAATGCTCTGAGAAGAAGTTTCATTAATACCTTTTTTTAAAAAACCAGTAATTTAAGCATTTCAAGGTAGATTACTTATTGGAAGTAAGCGATTATACTTCTCTATAATAGTAATCTGTTAAATAATCTCCGGACCGATAGGGACCGGTTAGGACTGAATAACACCCCTGTTCAGTTTCGCGTGAAAAATATTCATACTTATGTAATTTGAGAATGGCTAATGTGATCTATTGCCAGTGATTTTGAACGAATGCTACAACCTCAGGATTTATTTAAAATTAAAATCGTGAAAACGGATTAAAAGTTTCGAAATATACTTTTTAAATGCTGCAGTAATATTACTTAGCTTAAATCTAGAGTTCCAATTGGGATAAATCCGTCATCCGTTTGTCCATATCTGATTTATTTGGATATCCCGATCCATAGAAATAGATATCCGAATAAATTCAAATCCGGATATCTGACAATTATCCGGATAAACGCTAACCGGATTGGAACTTACTTACATAATTCCTGGGTAGGGATGTTAAACAGCTCGGTTTAGTCGGTTTTCGAGTCAGTTAGAGTCGAGTCGTTTAAAGTCGACTCTCAGTAATATCGTATGATATTGCAATATGCAACAATTAAGTTTATCGGTTTTATTGTTATCTTGGTTTGTACAACTTCACATGATTAAAAATTCAAGTTTGAGTCTGATACTGACTCAACTTCTGGAGTCGGGTCAGTTCAGACAGACACTTTAACATCCCTATTCCTGGGACACCTGATAAACAAGTATATGAGTGTCGCCAAAAGAAAATCCGACAATTTAAATATAGTCTATATTTAAATTGTCGGGTTTTCTTTTGGCGACACTCATATAAAAAATATTTTTTTTTGAATCAGGTCTAATTTTTAATATCGATATTGATGTTTTTAATAGCTATGATATCTACGTCACAAATTAAATTACAATATTGGTTCGATTTCTCCCATATTAAACATCATATTTGCGTAATAAAATTCTTACTAAAACATGTTCAATACGTAGAATTTTCATAATCGATAGAATTCATAGAACCTTCTTGAATACAATACGATAAAAGACTATTAATGCACAAAGCTGAATCTTCCTCGAACAAAATACATATTTTTGAGCACGCAATCCTGAAAACTTAGCGTTGTGATAGTGTTCTTCGTCATAAGCAGTTTCATCTGAAAAAAACAACTGACTTAGGATATACTGAGACATTCGTAAAGTGAAATTGTTTCTATCAACTTCATTTCTTTTTTTGTGAGTTTTGAAATCTATAGAATTAAAATTTTATAAAATAAAAATATGTATAAATATACGAAATATTTGTGTGTATATTCAAGTCAGTAATTAGCCCTCCAAATTGTTGTAAGACTGATGTTATGTCCCAACCAAAATTCCATCTCATACAAGTATCAGTTAGGTTTTCTTTCATGAAGTTTTAAGATATTTTATATCTAGAGAACTTGTTTTTTTTTTGAAAGTGATAGAAGTTTTCAATACAGAATATCTTTGAAAATGTGCAAGAACCCAACTTATAGAAGACCCACTAAAACTTGAGTGTTTTGCAATTTTTTGAATTGATAGGCCTTTTAAATTTTTTTTTTTAGTAATTTGCCAGTAAACATGCTTTGAAAGTAATTTTTTTTTTTGGATTCAACAAGAGACATGCATAATCTTACTGTACTAATTTCGTATATTATATCAATCTTTATTGAATTTATTATTATTATGCCAAAATATAACTTAATTGGATCAGCCGAAAAATCATTCGGCCAATTTTTATCAGGTGTCCCAGGAATTATGAAAACAGCTGTAAATGTATACTAATGTTCAAATAGGGCCACCAATTTTCTGCTGCAACTGGTCCCAAATTCTGCCTGTTCTACAAACCTGTTTACCGTATTGGGTTATTTCGAAACTCTTTTTTTGAAAATTGGTTTTTTGATTCAAAATAACACCCATGCGCGTTCCAAACTAACATGCTATACCATATTATATATTTTAATTTTTCAGGCTAAGTTTATTAATAAAAATAGGGCTTTTTTTTGTAACCCAAATTTGTCAAAATGATTCGAATTACCGCATATGCGCGTCCCAAAATAACACGCATCTGCGTGTTATTATGCGCCAATACAGTATGCGAATTCTGGAATTTACACGATAATTTATGCTGCAAATTCTGCAATTTATGCTATAAATTTTGCGAATTTACTATCAAACTTTTAAAAAAAATGACCTTGGCTTTCTGCTTTTTTCCAAGTAATACACTCGTCTTTTATGTTTACTAATTGTTTACATCGGAATCTCTGATCTTCAGTTATTAGTGTATAAAATTCAAGCTTTGGTTTATGTGTGCTAAATGAATATTGAACAAAATTTTATGTGCGTATATAAATCTTTAAAATTTACATGCAGAAAGGAAAAAAAAAAATGCTATCGTGAGATGCAGTGAACGAATTCATGAGGCACCTATTTGTCACGAGATCCCATAACATTGTATGTGCGTTTGGAAGAGTAAGTGGTGTATGGTATAAGGTATAGTATGTGAGTATCGATTGTTCAATTGATGAGTATAAGTGTTTGTATAAGGTCTATATTATTTCACTGACAATCATTTCATAAACACCACATTTCACTGACAATTATTCATCAACAAAGTTCATCTCCACTCTACTATTTGG